TTTGTAACTACTTTTACTATTCTATCTAACCTTTTGTGACTGCTTGTTCCACCTCCAAAATTGGTAACTCATTCCATGGCTCAAACTCAAAATCACAGCTGTTTCCAGCTGTCTGCCAGGGTCAAAAATGCTTCTGACCAAGGCCTGGAACCTCTAAAAATGTCTGGGAGACATTTTGAGTTCCAACACCGGGCTGGGTTTTGCTCCCCGTTCATCAGCTGGGTTTACCCTTTGCTGCCGGTGCTTTCCCCGTCTCCCCTCCCACAGCAAAGCTCCCCTCTGCCTTCCCCAGGGAACACGAGTGGTTCAAGGAGGAGCTGCCCAGTTACCTGTTCCCCGAGGACCCTTCCTACGACGCCACGGTGGTGGACGACGAGGCGGTGCGCGAGGTGTGCGAGAAGTTCGAGTGCACCGAGTCGGAGGTGCTGAACAGCCTCTACAGCGGCGACCCCCAGGACCAGCTGGCCGTGGCCTACCACCTGGTCATCGACAACCGCCGCATCATGAACCAGGCCAGCGAGTTCTACCTGGCCTCCAGCCCCCCCACCGGCTCCTTCATGGACGACAGCGCCCTGCACATCCCCCCGGGCATGAAGCCGCACCCCGAGCGGATGCCGCCGCTCATCGCCGACAGCCCCAAGGCTCGCTGTCCCCTGGACGCCCTCAACACCACCAAGCCAAAGCCCCTGACTGTCAAAAAGGCCAAGTGGCACCTGGGGATCCGCAGCCAGAGCAAACCCTACGACATTATGGCCGAGGTGTACCGGGCCATGAAGCAGCTGGACTTCGAGTGGAAGGTAGGGTGGGTTTCCAGAATCCTTCATCCCGTAAACTCAGCGAGGTTTGGAAATGTGCTTACAGCCTCACCTTCCAGATAAATGTTCCCACCTTGCAATCATCCCTGCCGTTCCTTCTTAAGGCAAACTCAATGAATTACAGAGCCAGCTGTGCTTATCTGTGGTGTTTATTTACGGCGTGAAATAAGGGGTTTCTTTCCGCAGCTGGAAAGATGATTCTGCCTTGCTTAGCTGCAGGGATAAGGGGAGCTGTTCACATTTCTAATTTTAGTGGCTAATTCCTTGCGAGGTCATCTTGAGTGCTGCTGAGCAGAGGAACTCTCATTAGTTCTGCCTGGTCCTGACAGGACAGAAATGTGGTACAGTAGGAATTGTCCTAAAGGATGCACAGATGAGGGGCAGGGGGCCTTGGGTGCAGAATTTGTATCATCGATGTGGTGGCCTTTTTCTTGATGGAGATGCAGCAGTCCTCACAAACCAGATGTGTTTTCAGACACTTACTGCTTCCTCAGTTTAGCTCAGCTTCTTGATTTAAACCCAGATGTTTTAGCTGACAGTACTCACTGCAGGTATTTCTCCAGGGCTGTGCAGCGTTTAGTCAGAGTTCTTTTCAAAGTTGGAGTAATAAATCCCTAAGTTAGCCCTGGAGCTCTGCTGCTGTGCCTGACTTCCCCAGTCCTGGTGCAGCCCCTGAGGTGAGCTCTCCTGGCTCGTGGCCTTTGGCAGCAGCATCATGTGAGCATCAGGAGCAAGGTAAGGAGAATTTCAGCCCAGATCTTCATCACCAGAGGGGCTCCCCTCCTCCTTCCCTCCAGGTCCCAAGCATTGTACTGTGTGAATTTCACTGTGCTGCTTGTTTAAAAGCTCCTGCCTCCTCCTTATTTTTGATAATATTACATCTTTAAAACCAAGTAGCTTCCAGAAACCCCATTTCCCTGCACCAGGACCATGGCCAGGTGCATTTGCCCACACCAGCCAGCCATTTTTTAGCTGAATGGTTGTACAGGGAGTGAACAAACCTGCTGTATTTCTGTTACAGCCTCAAAAACCAACTCAGCCCAACATCTCTGTGTAGGCAGTGGAGCTTATTTCATACGAGGAGGTTTCACAATAGCCTTTCCCACCCTAAGAATAACTTCAGATGTGACTCTTCATCAGAATTAACTCTCCCATCCACGCAGTTGCTTCACAAATATGGCACAGAGAAAAGATCTCATTGTAAATGCGATGCAGCAGATTGTGAGGTGGGAAGCAGCGAGGGGAAATACTCAGCTTGAGGCTGATCCACAAACACTGGGTTTAGCTGTGCTGATGGGAGAGGCTGCTCTGCCCAGCTCGCCCTGGTTTCACGAGCACTGTCCATATGTGTGGGCCCACGAGTGGACTTTTTGGTCTGTGTGGCCGTGGCTGCTGCTGAGGGAGAAGCAAACATCAGTTTTGTGCCTGGCAGATGGGTCACTGCAGCTTCCTCAGCCAGCAGCTGGTGAATCACAGCCTTAAGAAGAATATTTAAAGATCGGAGGAAATGAAGCCGTTTGCTTCGTTTTATGGGGGTTTTCCTTTTGGGAAACTGTTTTGCCCAGAAGATGTCTTGCTCATATTTAGAAAAAATAAGGAAAGAAGTGTTCCTGTTGCTGCCTGGAGTCTCCCTGCTGAGGGCAGCTTTCCCCTTGCAGGTGGTGAACGCCTACCACCTGCGGGTGCGCCGCAAGAACCCCGTGACCGGCAACTACGTGAAGATGAGCCTGCAGCTCTACCAGGTGGACAACCGCAGCTACCTGCTGGACTTCAAAAGCATCGATGGTGAGTGGGAGATGGAGAACACGTAGAAGGGCGAGGCTGGAATTTTAAGAGCCATCCTCTGCCTTTTGAAGCACTTACGCATGTGTCATTTCAGCAAAAGCCCTTTCGAGCCGTCCTTCTCTGCTGTTGTCCCCATATCATCACCACACCTGCATTGCAGCTGCCAAACTAATCCCACTTTTTCTCTCTTCTGCCTTTGTTTTTTCGGTTGTTTTTGGCTTTTCAAGACGAGGTGATGGAGCAGAGGTCTGGCTCCTCCACGCCACAGCGCTCCTGCTCGGCCGCGGGCTTGCACCGGCCGCGCCTGAGCATCGACGCGGCCGCGGCCACCGAGTGCCAGTCTCTGATGGGCTCCCTGAGCGGCTCCTTCGTGGGCAGCATCCCCTCGGTGCCCCCTCGCCTGGGCAGCCACACCATGGACTTCTTTGAGATGTGTGCCAGCCTCATCATGGCCCTGGCCCGCTGATGCGTCGGCCCCTCTGCGCGCTGTGAGGATCCGCGCTGACTCGTCCGCCCCTCCTTCCTCTGCTCCCTTCTTCTTCCTCCTCCTCCTCCCCTCACTGCCCCACAGAGCCAGGGCCAGACCCAAAACGTGCTCCCCTCTAGCGAGGCACCAAGGAAATTAACTTCAGACCTCTCCTTGTGCCTGGCGAAATGTATCCAATACCTTTTTTATTTTTCTTTCCTTGCAAACCCCATGGGAAATGTTAAGGCTGTAAAGTAACAAACGTTATCACTGAGTTTTTGGAAAACACCTCCCCCCTGGTTCATCCTGAGATAATGGGGGCATAGCCACACTTCCTGCAGGGAGTTTGGTGTTTCCCTGATGCTGTGCAGAGCAGGGGCAGGCTGGGCTGAGCCAGGGCAGAGGAGTTAACCCGGAGCTCTGTGAGATGGAGTGGAGGGTGACGAAGCAGCTCTGCAGTGTTCACACCCAGGTGCCAGCCTCTCTTAACACTTTTCTCCCCAAAGCAGCAGCTGCTTAGATGCTTCTGCACTAGTGCAATATGACCTCCCTCCCCTCTCTTTTTCCCTCTGCTGAAGATGGGCAGGGAAGGTGGGATGTGCAAAGGTCCTGGTGCAAACCTGCTGTGGGGAGGCCACTCTTTGCC